GTTATACACGTATAGGGCTTCCACAAACCATGGTTGACGCCTAGCAGCATGTCATGGTTACCCAAGCTAATCAGAAGAGGTTAGAGAACCTATTCAGTTCGGGATTACAAATGCAATACGGTCCTTCTCTAATCTAATACTCTTGACCACATTGTTTGGTATGATAGTTTATTTACTCATGTCTACTATCCAATGTGAATCGTTTGCTTTGCTTATATGATTTCCTTGAATGTGATTTGGAACGCATTCCCCAATCTTATTCATACTCTGGCCAGAGATTCCAAATCATATCATAGAGTATTCTCCCTCAACTGTTTGAAGGTTAGAGATCCCTTGTTGCGCATTCACTTGTCTCCATAGCTAAGTGGCTTAACCCCAACGATGCCGTGACACCCCGAGGGGGTGAATTAGACATAATCAAAGATTAAGGACTTAACCACAAGACAACTGTGATGCCTCAGGTCAAAGGACAACTTTGCATTATCCCAACCATGAGTTCTCATGTGACATGGAATATAAGAACTCTTCGTTGATCACGTTCAGTGAACTCATTCTCTTATTGAGCACCTACGTACTTGTCTTGATGTCACACACACACCAATGACTCGAGACTAGTCACTCTCCCTGAGAGAAGACACAGTACGTACTGATCTTAACGGACTGTCAATGCCCAATTGGTAATCCTATGATCAGGAACATTTATGATGTGTCTACGAAAGAATGGTCTCATTAATCTAACTTCATTAGATTGCATTCTCCCAATCACATATTCCTTGGACTTTATCGTTTAAGCATATAACATTTATATGAGACGGCTCAAACAATAATCTTTGCCCTTTATATGTTAAACTAGATTAGTTTAACATTTGAAATGTCCGTAAAGTATCATCATATGATTGGTTTTAGGGCACATTTCCAACAGTTTGCTCCCTGCGATTCCTCCGTAAATTCTACTCAAGTTCTGGATCAAGTGGAATCAATTTCTGCACTGTTGAACGGGTGCTGACCATGCACAGATTTCTGAGATCTGCACTGCCGTACTGTTGTAATCTGTAAAAATAAAATAAACGAAAATTAATTTTTTTTTATATGTATGAACAGCAATAACTAATTGAAAATCTGATTAGTATGGATTATTTTAAATAATCCCCGGCAACGGCGCCATTTTTTCTGGAGAAGTGTTCAGAATATTCTAAACATTAAATCCAGCTATATTGGGCCAGTTTTGGAGCAGCTTATGGGCCAAAACGTGGCTGTTCAGATTTTAGACGAATTTTATCATTTAATTTAGGGTTATGTTTCCTAGGGTTTGTGTGGAGGCTTAGCAGATATATTGCTTGGCCGTCTACAGTTTTTGGGGACAACATTTTTTTTATGCAATTTTGGAGACAGAGAGAAGTGCTAGGGTTTTGGAGATTTTCTACTTGAAGGTGTTTTCAATCATTTTCTTAAGAATATTTTCTATGATTTCAATTATGAGTATGCGTAACTAATTCCTTTTGCTAGGGCGAAGCCTTGAGCCTTAGCATGAATATGTGATTTTTATTTAATTGTTTATGATTGATTGCATGCATACTTTGAATTGTTAATCACCGGGATAAAAAGTATCTAATGATTTTAATGCCTGATCACCATTAGGATTTTTAGAAAAGTAATTTGATGCAATTTTGGTCGGAAGGTTCCCTGAAATTGACGCTGGCTTCTTGTGATTAATAATTGTAATTTCGCTTAGGATGAATATCACGTCTTAAGGATTGCATGGTTTTTCAAAGGATTTTCATAAAGCGTAATGAGTCTTTCATGTTCAGATTTGATCCGAACGTCCGGACGGGTTGCATGTTAGATATACGTTATATGTTGGAGGTTCCAAGTAGAATATGAATTAGGAAAATCTAACCTTCAAAGTGGCATGTGTAGATTATAAGTAATTGATAAAAATTCATAGGATTGCTAGGTGATGGTGGAACCCTAGTGTTTTCTTAATTTGATTCTCCCAAAACTGTTTTCTTCTCTCTAGCTCTAATATTGCAGATTGTTTATTTTAATTCATTAATTTCGTTTTTATTTTAATTAGGTTATAAAATCAATCACCTAAACTTCTACTTTACAATAATTAAATGGAATCTGATTAGTTTTGAATTATTTAATAATCCCTGTGGAGACGACCTTGCGAGATCCGTTTATACTACAATAACCTTGTGATTCTTGCAAGTAAAATAGGAGATTTAAGCTCGTTCACATGAGTAGTAAAAATCCTATCATGTTACACGACACGACCCGTTAAGATATCGGGTATGACACAAAAACGACACGAACACGGAAAACACGACACGAATGCCAGGTCTATTGTGCCCTTAGATGTAAAATATAGGCACAATAATATATTTGAGTTCATCTTTTTAAACAAAGTGGTCAGAAAATGTGTTTGTGTCCATTTTTTTTTATATTGGGCATAATATGTAGTGTCCTTTATTGAATGGGCACTGTTTTAATCCTTTTGTGTTGAAAGACACACAATTTTGTCCATAATTTTGTGCCCAAAGGCCATTTTTGTTGTAGTGACAGTTAACTCATCCGACACTTCATCTTGAGCAGCTCCGATCTTGGCAGCTCCATCCTTGACTACTCCGTCTATGGCAGCTAAGAAATCAAACTTAAGCAGTTTCCTTATTTTTGGCAAACAACCCATACGTGGCAGCCCAAACCGTTGTCCATGCCACGCCACTTCCTCGGCCCATGCCGAGCCAATCCTTGGCTTTAATTAAGCCGAGCAGCACAAGTAATGGCCCCTGCCACACCTCTTCCTTGGGCCATGCTAAACCGACTCCTGGCCCCTGTCAGTCGATGTACCGCACCACCCCGACGGCTGCCCCGTGGCAGCACCTCCCACGAAGAAGACAAAGAAATCAATGGAAGACGGTTCTTTGCACGGGCAAGCAAAGAAGAGTGCTAGGGGAGGGGGAACAAATATCCTCTAGCTTTCTCTCTTTCTTGTAAGGATAAATAATTGCCCTTCAAAGTTGATTTAATCCCCTACTTAAGGTAGGATTAAATAGGCATTGGAGGCGATTTATTTCCATTTCCTAAAAGAATATAATTCCAAGTCCTTGAGAAAATCTACATCAAAGTTGGAGATCTCTACACCTGCTGCCCTTTCCTGTGAGCAGCCCAGCAAGTATGGAGGCATTTGTGGAGCCCAAAATAATCACAAGGCGACACATGGATTTTTGGGAAGAAGAAGACAAAAATACTCTTGAGGCATACTAGGATTCTTACGGTCAAGCAGCAGACACTCATCACTCAACCAAGTCAAAATTGCCCAAAATAGGTAACAATTCAAAGCCTATTTCATCCATCCTCATCAAATCATTTCTACAAGATAATTCCCAAAACATTCCTTTTAAATTATGTTAATTGGCTAATTAATAGATTTATTACCTAATTAATCTATTAATAGCCAATTAAACCACCAATTACTCCCAAAAAACACACATAAGGTCGGTCACCTTCTCTCCCAAGGGGGCCGGCCATGCCTTATAATTTCTACCTCATTTTCCCCTTTCATTAGCTAATCAATTAGGCAATTATTCTATTAATTGACTAATTAATTAGTTAATTATTCCATAACTCCCAATTTAACACAAATCAAGAACCTAGCCCACAAAGGGAGCTAGGTGGCCAGTCCTCTCTCATCCAAGGAGGTCGGCCACTCTCCTATTTAAACCACATCATCCTCCTCAAAGTCCACTTCCAACTCTCTTGTTAAAATTCTCACACTTTCTCTCTAAATTTTAACTTTAACATCAAAGATTCTCTAGCCAAAGCGCCCCCCCCCCCCGGCGCCAATTCATCATGGGCGTATGAGGCTCTTGGCCTTGACCAAAGGTGTTAATTGTTTTGTAGGTGCAATTTTGTCCAAGATCAAGGAGGAGGAAATTTGCATCCACACAACCCCTTCAAACCGCACCAAAAAATCAAAACATCCATTCGAAACCTCAATTTTTGAAACCAATTTCAAGTTCGATTCAAGTTTTCAAACAATAATCAATACATCAAATCCGGAATTTCTCAACCCAAAAACTTCATTTGAAGACGAAAAACTGAAAAAATTCGAGATATATATTTGCAGAATCCAAATCAGAGAAACACAGGTATGAACCTAGAAATTCTTATATTCTTGATGATTTCTTACTTTGATTTACTACATATGTATATTTGCATGTTTGAGATTCTAAAAAATAAATTATGTTTCCAGTTCAGAGTATTCTGATTTGCATCCAGACGAAAACGAACAAAAAAAAAAGGGGGAAATAAAAGCAACATAGAAGAAATAGAGGTACATACTACAAAATTTATAATATTCTCGATGATTTTACAGTAATATGTAAGTTTGCATGATTCGAATTCATTGAATGGGCAATGTTTCTGCAAAATGGTATTTTTTTACTTCACTTTGATAACGCTTGTTTTCTTATAACCTTTAAATAGTCTTTTCTTGACCTCATATGTTGGTTACTTTGCTTAAATAACTTAAAAATAATCAACATTCTATTACAATGGTTCCAGAAACAGTATAGTTTTTTTGTTTCTGTTTGATTAACAGTATGGATCCATAATCAATATGGTGTTTTAGTTCATTTTCTTAAATAACATGCCCTAGTATGGATCCAGAATCAATATAGTGAAAAAGGACATTTTTGAAGCGTACCAAAAATACTCTAAGACGAAACTCTTGAAGGACGAAAGCTACTGCTTCAATTATATGTGCGCATCTCATCCAATCCCTCTTATTTGCAACCTCCAGAACATACATCACATGGAACTTTATAACAAATTGTGGGGCATTTGACCAAATCAGCAAATATAATTGGGCAAAAGGAGTGATAGACTACTTGTTCAAGATGATTGACAAATCAAAGAAAAAGAAGAAAAATGGAGGATAATTAGCAATAACAAGCGGATGCACTGCTATTATTTTGGTAAAAAAATTAGAACTATAGTTTTAAAAGCATGAATTCTATCTTATAAATTTCACAAGAAACTAATTCAAAGTTCTTATTTCATGCAGTATTGGATTTATCTTCACACCAATCTAGTGGAGACAATAAGTTGACGAGAAAACATGATTCCTGCAATTAGAAGATGGACATAACCAAGATATACAAAGCAATTCTTGACCTTTCGATTGCCTTGCGGATTAGTGAGTTACTGGGTTCTGCCCCATAACGTACATCTTTGTGTCTACATACGACGACTCCGTTTCTACTCAGAGCCGCATATAGATGGCTCGCGAAACTCATGCGGGTGTCTTGGCCACTGAAACTGAGGTAGACATCGTACTCATTTGTATGCGTGGTGGCCATGGATCCCAACGGAAATCTCTGCTCTCTTCTCTCTCTTCTTCTTATGGAAACTCAGACCGATCAAATCCAGATCTGAGAGTCTTCTAGCATAGGAATGGATAATGAAATGTCAACGGCTATACAATCGTCCGATGCGCAGCAGCAAATCTCCATTAGTTTGACTTGAACTACATATAAGTATTGTTTTTTTTTTGTTAGATACATATTAATATTGTTCAAAGCTACATATTAATAAAAAAAAATTGTTCATTAAAAATTAGTAAAAAGACTATTTAGTTTTTTATCTCAATAAAAAAATTAAAGACAGTAACGTAATTTTACAAAATAAAATTTTACTTTTTTGTTTAAACATCACTTACAAGTACTTTTAACATTTTTAATTTTTAAAAATTGAAAGAAAAAAAAAATTAAACTCTCCTCGCTCTCGTTCTCTGTCTCTCCTCCAATTTTAAAAACAAAAATAAAAACATTTCACACACATTTTATGTATTGGCATACTAGTATTTATTTACAATTCACGTTTTTCACAAACAAACTTACCACATTGATCTCACAAAAATAATTTGGACAGGATTATATAAAATCATAAAAGCAAATTTGTTGAAGATCTACTTTTGGCGTTTTAATTACACTTAGTTAAAACCGCATGTTTAAACTATTTTGCTATATACAACACTAAGGGGTTGTATTCAATATGGAACGGTACCATATGTTAATATATAATTGGGTTTTTTTTTCCTTCGAATTGTATAAAAATATGTATTGTACCGTTCCACGTTCCAAGCAATTTCTCCATAATCAGGATTTTGAGCAATTTTAATTCTTTTTACAAATCCAAGGGAATTTAATTAAAATTTAAGTGATTTTCTAAAAATATAAGTGTATTCAATTATGATTTTAAAAGAGTTTAACACATTTCAGCATTTCAATTAGAAATTTAGTTTAAAATTTGAGGAATTCGAGTGAATTTGAGAGGTTTTGTAATGTATTTTAAATATTCTCAAATCTCACATCTCTCCCTAATTATTTGTGAGAATTCACTCAAAAGTTTCGTAATGTATTTTAAATATTCTCACGTCTCTCCCTAATAATTTGTGGAAATTCATTCAAAAGTTTACATGTGAATATCTAGAAGTCAAATAAACTCCATCAAAATCCATCAAAATCCATTAAAATCCCTCGAAATCTTAATCGTAAACAACCCATGAATAAGAGGAGGCTTGAGAGAGATTTATGCGACCAAACCAATGCTGAATGTCTACTTACTTGATGCTGCGTGGTTAGGCTTAGTCGACCTCACTCCATCTTCATTGCTTTGCTACTTGAAATGAGGGATTCCAAACATATTGGCGAAGCCGGCCAATGTACCCTTCAATCTACCACTTCCACTAGGTCCTTCTCCGTCACCATCGCTACTGGATTGGGTCGCTATTTCATCCAACTCTTCCACAGCGCTCTCGTACACAACGTCCAACTCTTCCACATCACTCTCGTACACCAAACGAGTGCCGCAACTCTTCACCAAGCAGGGGCCTGAGCTTTTGAAATTAAATTTTAACTGATTGCAACTGTTTTGCCACTCTGTACCAAAGCTTATACCACGAGACACATAGAGTAGCCAGATATGATCTGACACGGGCTGGACATCCGAAGATAGTAGAGGCGCAGGGTACTCTTCCTTTCCATTGACTTCCAAAACACCAGAGAGCTCCCATCCGCTCCCACAAACTTTAAATACAGCGCACAGAGCATATCCCATCCACTTGTTATCACGCCATTGCGGAGTTAGGTCGACGGTTACTTCTGGTCCCATCCTTTGATGAGTGAACCACCCAGGAATTTCCTTTCCAGGCATGACAATTTCATATCTATCTCCTGCATAAGGGACTCCCTGTACAGGTGAAACAGTGATGTCAAGCATTGAGAGAGAGAGAGAGAGAGAGAGAGAGAGAGAGAGAGAGAGAGCACCTTAAGATATCTTTGGAGCATTGTAAATGTTATATGATTGTAGCTTTCTTTCTCAAGCATTCCAAAGCAATTGATGAAATTGAAGCATGATGAATTCAATCTGTCCAAATTTGATGGACATTCCAGCATTTTCAGTTTAGTACAACCATCTGCAGTTACTTGTAAATCCACATCTGACGAAAGAACTGGAAGGTGTTGAAGCCTCCAGCAACGACTCAAGTATAAATTCTCTAGCTTAGTGAGTTGGCTAATGCTTGTAGGAAGATTAACAAAATCGTTTCCACTTAAGTTCAATGATACCAAAGACGATAAGCAGCCAATATCACTGGGGATGTCTCCTTTACCAAGACTGTGACCACTTAAGTCTAATTCCATTAAAGAACAAAGGCCTGATAGAGGAGGCAAGAACAAACTGATGGAATGATGAAGGCTCCCTGTTGGCATTAATCTAAAAGGGAGCAACATATGCCATGGTTGTTGTGATGGCCCTTCCATTCCACGAAAAATCAATGCTTTAAGGTTTTTCAGAAGGGCAATGGAAGATGGGAATTCTTTTATAGCAGTTCCACTTAAATTAATCTTCTCCACAAACTCTAATTTCCCGAGGGTTTCTGGCAATTTGGCAAGATTTGAGCATCCAGAAACATCAAGACTTTTAATAGCCGTCAAATTTCCAATGGTACGAGGAAGACATTTCAGATTTTTGCAATCTCTCAAGTCCAACAAAGAAAGGCTGGTTAGATGTTCAATTGATGAAGGTATACATTCAATACCGGTCCCATCTAAAGAAAGCTTCCATAAATGCTCCATAGGTTCCACAAAATTCGGTATCTTTTTAACGCTTGAGCAGCCAGAAAGAACTAGAACTTCAAGGTGCTCCATTTCAATCTCATCCGGAAGAAGCTCGAGACTTTTGCAGTCTTTAAGAGTCAAGAAAGTGAGCTTTTTGAGAGTTCTTATGGAAAAGTGAATCTCAACTAGACTTTCGCATCCTTCAAGATCTAATCTCTCAAGATTCTGAATCCCTTCAAAATCAGGGGTTCCAGTCAAACTTTTGGAATGACTAACTTTAATGATTTTCAACTTGTCAAATTTCTGCAATGTTTACAAGAAATGAAGAATAATTAGATCCAGAAAACTCAAATCAGGTAATGAAGTATATTCTACATCAAGCAAGGTAATAATATTATAGATGTAGCCATATACCTTTTCTCCATTCCAGAGCTGTTTAATTCTACTATGACACATAATAAGTTCAACAAGCTCTGCCGGGTGGAATCCTAATGGGAGATATTGTAGAGGATAACCTCTCCATTCAAGAAATCTCAAGGAATTAGGGAGACGGTTTAGGCCTTCAGGAAGGCGCACGTTATGGACTTTGAGCAATCTAAGATTAACCATCTGAGAAAAAACTTCAGGAGGGCATTCGACCTCTTCTGAGGTAAGCAAGTCTAGGACAATACCTTCAACCGTCGATGTCCCCTGATAACCAAGAATAAATAAAAAAACAAGTGAATTGCAGTATAGTCTGCACATTATAAGTAAAGGAAGATAAGTAAAACTAATAGGTTTTTTTTTTTTGTGCTTTTAATTGTTGGATTAATTTATATTTGATGTATTAGGTAAGCTCTTACCGTATTTTCCTTCAAAACACGAAAGATGTCCTTAGAAAGCCATAATCTGCTCCGTTCACCAGGTTCTTTAGATTGTTGACCAACAATTGCTTGACCCATTTTTTGTAACAAATCATGCATCAACACCATGTTATCTGAAATTGTTATCAGAGACTTCTTCACAAGGACATCTATGCCAATACCTGGATTAAAACCACAACCATCTAGTATTTCAACTACTCGATCTTTGTACTCTCCTTTAAAGAAACATGCGATGTCAAGGAAAATATCTTTCTCTTGTGGATCTAAACCCTCGTAACTTATTATAAGTGTCTTCATAATTTTTTCATTAAATATTAAATCATCCCCTAGTTTACTTAATTGACCTCTCCATGCATCTAGACCTCTTCCATTCAAAAATAACCCCAAGACTTCAAGAGCTAATGGAAGGCCTTTGGCATAACTCACAAAACTTATAGACAGATCCATATGACTTTTAGGCGGATTGTCCCTTTTAAGGGCTCTCAAGCTAAACAGTTTAAGAGCGCCAACATCACTCAACAACGGCACCTCAAATCTTCTTTCTACACCATGTGAAATTAGAACCTGTTTATCCTTAGTCGTAATAATGACTCTACTCCCTTGACCAAACCAAGCTGGGTTTCCACATAGCTTTTCTAACTGAATACTATCGTCCACGTCATCAAGAATGATGAGAACCTTTTTGTCACGTACGAAGTATCTCATTTTGGCGGCTTCACTGGGACTCCAGTCTTGTATATTTCTATTCATAAGGCTATTGGAGAGCTTCCTCTGTATACCGTCCAGACCGTGTGCCTTAAAATCCTCGCTAACTCTGTCATGAAAGCTTTTGACTTGAAATTTATGAAGAATCCTCTGATAAAATGCTTTGGCAATGGTTGTCTTACCTATCCCACTCATCCCCCATATTCCTATAGAGAGAACATCATTTGACTCTTGTTCTAAAAGCACATCAAGTTGCTCCAGTTTCGACTCCATTTCAACCAGGTTTTCTGCAGGCTCCAATGATATAGGACCTACTTCAGTTCGTACCTTTTCAACGATTTCCTTGATGAGCTCTGGTTCTTTCCTACAAGAAAAATATACAATGTTCAAGATATGACCTAATACACATAGAAATAAAAAAGTTAGAGACTATTTTTGTTTTCGTCCACCTGAAGTCCTAGTATCAAGTGGTCTCTGTGTCCATTTAATAAGAGGGTAGTTTGGTATTGGACCAAATTAGGGACGGTTTCGGAATAGGGGAGGATTAAAAAGCGCAGCAGTGTTGGATTTAAAAGACATGAATTCTTAACCGGAGCAATTTTTTCCCCTTAGATTCTCAAATGGACCAAATATATGGTAAAAACAAAAGGTCCTCTAGGATGGAACCGTAAGAATAAAGTTAAACAAAGTCTACAAGGCCTAAATGCTTCCTCATTAATTAGTTGTGCTGTCATGGGATTAAGTAGTTATCAAGCACCTTCGTTACTGTCGTCGTACCCAGTGCACAAGGCTCCCGCTTTACGCAGGGTCTGGGAGAGGTGAATGTCGGCTAGCCTTACCCCCATTTATGGAGAGGCTGCTCCCAATGTGTGGGGGATGCAACACGAGGACTTCCCAGGAGGTCACCCATCCTAGTACTACTCTCGCCCAAACTCGCTTAACCTTCGTTACTGTGCAAAAAGTAAATTATATGAATTCTTCGATTTTCCTAAAACTTATCAGATATTCTTCATGCATCAGGATTTGGCAGAATTGTATTGAACTCTAGCAAAACTCAACCGAATTATAGAAACATTGCAAGAATTGAGTGAAAAAAGAAGGAATACTAACTTGTTATTTGAAATAGGCCCTTTGATTTTTGCCACTATTTTTAAGGCAGCTTTCCATCCATCCACCATCTCTTTGTCATCCTTATACTCTTGTTCGAGTTTAGTGAAGCCATTCCCAAAAATCCCAGACCGATCTCCAACATCGGAGGGTTCCACTGAGTAGAAAACTGGTATAGCTGCCCGTCTCTCTTCCATGCATTCAAGAATCTTTACGAGTTCGTTCAGGCACCATTTTGAAGAAGCGTAATCTGGAGAGATGACAACGATGGCAAGCCTCGACCTTGCAATTTCCGGGAAGAGATCAGAAATTGGGCTTCCTATTTGAAGTTCGTCATCATCCAAGAAAGTTCTTGTAATTCCTTGTTCTTTCAATTTATCATGTAGATGGGCGGTAAAACCTAAGCGCGTGTCTGCACCCCTAAAACTCAAAAAGACATCATATTTCCATTCAAGAGCTGAAGGAAGAGATGAAGTGGCTCGTTGGGTGCTCGATGCCATTGAAACAAGCTAACTGGATACGGTGGCATAGCAGCAATTAATATGGTATTAGTTTTTCAAGCAATCATCATAAAATTATTTGCAAAAACATGAATATATAAATTGACTTGTGACCAGAAAAACAATTCAGCATTCATAAAATTATATTAGGCAATAACATGAATCAGAAAGATGAGCAATAACCTGGGTGTATGTAGAAAACGAAGTCACAGATCAAGTCAGAGGGGTCATGAGAGGAGCTGAAGATCCGTCAGAAAAAAGGAAACACTGTCTCTGTGTACTTGCTACAAGTCTCTCTGTATGTCGTCGTCAACGAAACTTCACCGCGTAAGCTTGATGGACGTGATTCAACTGCTTCTTCTATCCGACGGTCAAACCGCGTAAGCTCTATTTTCCCTCTTTTTTATTTTTATTTTTTATTTTATTCGTTTGGTGAACTGTAAGCTCCATTATTTTATTTTTGCGTGGCTCCATTATTATTTTTTGGCCAAATTGGATTGTTCATCCCGTAGCCATAAGACACTTGCATGATGACATCCGTGGTGAAAAAATTAGGAATTAAACCTATGTGGTCTAGAATGTTAGCAAATTTAGTCCAAAAGTAAGATTTCTGTTAAAGGACTGTTAAAAGTTGGGGTAAAACTGTATTTTCAGTTCCAATTGACATTTAAAATAAATAATTTTTTTATAACAATTAACAAAAAAAATAATGCTTAATTTTTTAAATAAAAAAAAATACAGTTTCTAAAACTGTATTGGAACTGAAAATACAGTTTTACCCATACTTTTAACAGTCATTTAACAGAAATCTTACTTTTGGACTAAATTTGCTAACATTCTTAACCACAGGGGTTTAATTCCTAGTTTTTTCACCACAGAGATCATCATGCAAGTTTCCTATGACCACAGGAATGAACAATCCAATTTGGCCTTATTTTTTATACTAATGCAGAGCACACCATAGTTGAATGTTTCTAACAAACACAAAATTTAATTGCAAGCACTTCTTTTTCTTCCAGAAACACAAAATTTAATTTTCTTTAAGTTGACCCAGTGCGTTCACTTAGACAACAGTGTTGTTTGAATAAAAATAACTCTTAACAAAAACTTTTTTATGGCAAACCAGAAATACACCTGAAGCTTCTTGAACTACATTATGTGGAATCAACACACTTAAATTTATTTAGAGTGTTATAAACTCCTTTAAAATATTGATTGTTCAAACCGATCATTTTGAAGCGCTAACTTATTAGTAAGCAAATACGTTTCTAGCTACACGTTTGAGCACATTTGCAAGATTCATGATTATCCAAACCGATCATTTTGAAGGCCACCATTGAATAAGGATTATTCGTGTAAAATCTCACTCAAATTGAGCATTGCTTAGCTATCTAGCTAATGGCAACACTATAAGCAAACGAACATGGTAAATAATAAAGAAAATCAAAGGGCTCAATCATTCCAATTTAGGTAATTTTTGCAAGAATGATTTTGTATTGATTTTTATTTTTTTTCTTCAGAAAACTATTAATCATCAAAGTCCCAAGGGAGGGCGAACAAGAAACCAAATCAGCAGGCCAAACAAAGGACCGTGGGCACTGCCGTTACACACTTCTAACAGAACGCAAAGAACCTTCCGACGTATGCCTCAGCCTTCACCCGGCAACGATTTCTGGCGAGCAACCGGGCAAGAAGAGAGATGCTACATCTCCAGAGACAATGCTACTTGTAAAGAGGAGAGGACTAACCCACAAGTTATGACAAACCTACCAATATTAAATTTCAACATCTCGAGTCCATGTGGTTGGTACGACAATTTGATCCATACATACATACATACATACATACATACAACAAAGACACACAAGAAAGAAAAATTTGGCCAACCGTTAAAAACAAACCGAGATCAAAGAAATCAAACAATAAGGTACATCAATACATTAAATTATATGCAATGCCTGCTGACATCTCGGAAATATACCAACTAAACAGCATAGACAAACCAAAACTGAAAAAGTTCCTACCAATATTTATTTAGCAACAGGTAATCTCATGATCTCATGTGTAAGTGAGGAACAAGGTCCAGAGCCAGACTGACCGATACGCTGATGGGCACAACTCAAAATGACCTATTCGGGTTTGAAGAAGATGACTTGGCTTTTGCAAAATCAACTAGATCCTTGAAAAGAGCATCTTCCTGTTTTACTTGTTTTGTTGGGGTAGACGAATTAAGGGAGAGATTCTGAGTCTGTCCCACTAAGTTGTCATAAGATGAACCAGATCCACTGCCTGGAACGCCTTGTTTCTCAAAAAACTGTTGTCTCTGGTTATACCTGGAAGGCGGAGGTGGAAGGCTGACAGGAGATTGACCATTGCCAGGAGACTGAGGATTCCCCAGAGACTGAGTATCCCAAGGGGCAGGAGGGAGCCCATCTATAGATTTGCTTCTAGGAGCCGGTTCATCATATACAGGCTTTCCAGTGAATATAGGTGATGGAGTTGTGTTTTGGGAAGAAGGGGGTGAGGGTGATAGTGGAGTCAATCGTGAGGTGGAGCTGGAATGAACTGGAGCTGCAAAGGATGTGGATTCTGATGTTGCAGAGGATCCTTCAGATTTGTAGGCTTCTCCACTGAGATAATCAATCACACCAGGACCTAGAGTGATTGGCCTTTGCGAAGACGGTGGAGGAGGAAGAAGTGGGCTGACTTGCACAGGTTCAGCCTTGGCATTGGCTGATCTCTGGCCCTGTCCTTGTGAATTATCTCTTGATGACCTGCAATGCATCTTACCGAATTTTACTAAGAGGATAAGAATATTAAAAGTAAAAAACTAACAGAACTTGCAATATTCATATTCTGAAGCGCACACATACAAGTAAAATTGGTAGAAACAAAAACAAGTGAGAATGAAATGACAATGCAAAATAAAACTTAGAAGTGCTCCTCTAACAATCACCTGTGCGCTAGTTGGGAAAATTCATCCTCAGACTCATCATCCTCATGGTTCACATTCACAAGTGGCACAACTGAAGATTCTGCTCCTCTTACTACAGTTGTAGTTCCTTTCACAATATCGTCATGCCGAGAAATTACACACGCTGCAGATCATCGTTCAGTGCCAATCCCCTGACATAGAAGCTCCTCATCTCTGAGAGGAGAGCAACCACAACTGTCACTATTGCATCAAATGTATGAGTAAAACTCAAATCCATATCAAATCACTTACGCAGTCTCATTCACAAGAAGCCTGACACGCTTTTGGTATGAACGGCACTGATCAACAAGGTCAACAATCACTTCTTCCTTCAAACCCTGCCATAGTATTTCATTTTGACCATTTATGACCATTAAATTTGCACACATTAAGAGCCCGGATGGTAATATTACGATTTTGGTTCATTTTTTATTTTTAGCAAAAGCCGAAGAGGAATTGTATGGAGAAAATAGGGAGAAAGAAAGGGCTCAGATGGATGAGCATTAAAATGAATATGGAACGGTATTTAAACCAAAAATTAAATCAATCTCAACTATTCTATTTTCTCCTTCAAGTTTTTATTTCACCCATTCCCCTTCAATCATCATACCTCCTCCCTTCTACAAGCACAAGAAAAGTGCAGCCCTTAAAGGTACTAATTTTCGAGTAATTAACCACCTAATTCCAACTCTGCTAAAAGTCCCAACTTCAAAAAATTTTACAATCACAGTAATTGACACCTCTGGATAACTAGCCTTATAAATAAAGTTTTGTTATCAATATATCTCCTCAAATAATTTACATACAGTGCATAAGTAAAGAAAAGTATGGACCATAAATATTCTCCACAATTGACCATATACAACTTTCAGAATTTTCTACTGTGGGCCCATATGAAACTTTCACCGCTAGAGAACTCCACACACAAAAACAAAAAAATAGAATCATTGGCCTCTCAACAAAAAAAAAATTCTAGAAAAACATAAATAAGAAATTATCCTTTAATAATACCTTTTTGGAAAGAAATTAATCAGACGTAAAAAAATAAGGTAGAAAATATATTACCTCAGGATTCTTAGCATCCAAGGCATTAAGCATTTCCATCAACACATCTGCAATTCCACGAGCATTCTGAATCTCTGGCAAGCTGATTAAAGACAGTTCCAATCAGGATGGATCTATCATAGCTTCAATAATAATTCAGACAATTTTTACCAAAAATAAAAAAGCATCCCAAAGCATAAAAAACAGATAGCATCTGTTACAATATCATTATGTTGGAATTGTCTGTATAGGTAATTATGGGGGATTCGGGAAAGATGGAATAACTATACAAAGAAGAGAAATGATTTGAAGTCTATTGTTCAATTTCTTATTAGCACAAAATTCAATCAAGCAAGGATGAATTCTTTCATAAATTACAGTTACGGATCATGACATTCAACAAGCAGCAGCTGAAATAATTGTACAAGCATAAAAAATATATGCCGACTGACATCTCTTACTAAAGATTAAGACCCTAGGACTGACGGGACTTATAATAGTAAGGATGTAAGAGACATCCTCATGTCAAGGGGAGAATTGATGAATACTTGACAAGGTTAAGGCCTTTCAGATATATAGTCAAATTTTTCTGCAGTATTAAAGCATGCACAACACATTCAAATTTGATAATGAGAAAGGTATAAAAAAAAATTTTTTTTGAAGAAGTTGAAGAAATAAAAAATGAAAGAGAAACAATCGAATCGCCAATTTATGCAGTACAACATATGTAGAACATGTCATACTGAGGGTTTTAATCCTGGGACACTTTCCAATTGCCTACAAATATTTTTAACCTCTCTCATGCAATCAACACGCAAGTTTATAGTTGTGACAAACATGCATGTGAAGGAAACAATAATTGTTTGAACAGGGAATAAATACCATACTCAAAAGGCCCAAAAAATGTATGTTTCCAAGAAAACCATATTCTCGGCTAGTACCTAAGGCCCGATGCATCCGACTGGAGAGAAGCCTGAATGGCAGCATCATCATATGATGTAACAGGAGAAACTACTGGCTGGGTCTGGGGCGGAGTAAATATTGGTACACTGTTCTCTTCTCTTGGTGGAAATTCAACTCCTGCAGACTGTCGGTTATTCATTAAGAGAGTTAGGGTGGAAGAAGAAACAGAATAAAGAGAAAATAATTAAAATCCACAGTTATACTAAATATTGAATAGCAAGCTTATAAGTATTGCTGGCCAAACTGATGGAAATGTTATTTTGGACCTATTAAACATCATCAAAAGGTAGAAAGGTAAATGCGTTGAAATCTAATTGTGTGAAAGCTGAGGCGTAGTTGCCTCTTTTGTCAGACAAGGCAAGGCATAAGCCTCTCGGACATGAAATCTTATAGGAAGCAAATAAATAATGCAATACTAATAAGTTGAAGTGCTAGTGAGTAACTGAAGTATAATAAGAAATCCCAATATGACCACATATAAGTTATAACAGTCATTCAAGCATAACAACCAATCACAAAAATAAAATACTCAATTGGTCATACAAATATTCAAAACCCCAAAAGATAAACTCAGTTCACCACAATACTTGTGATGAATAGAAACTAACATCACTATCATACTGGTCCAACAGACTGATGTGATAAGGGACGCATAGCAGTGACTTGCACTAGAGGAGGGTTTGCAAGATCACTATTACTTCCATTGTTCACAACATTTACTATCATCTGTCAAAGCTGAAGGCACTTGGGCTGAACATGTTTACCCATTAATCTTAACTTAACTAGGTCATATAATTAAACAGAAATGTTTAAAAACATGGCCTATTAAGCAACTCAAAAGAAAGATGACAGCAAAGAATGTCACTGATTGGACCGGTCAGACTGGGTGATATCATAAATATATAACAACATGATTCTATTCTCTATATACTATATCCATTCTTCGACAAATGAAAGAAATATCCTATAAGGCAGTTTTAAAAGGAAATACTTTTTAGAAGACGGTCTACTTTGATTAGTAAATTGAAAATTTAGTAAGATAGTTCCATGGGAACACAGCACAAGTACAAATGCAGTGTACATAGTACAGATTACAAACAAAAGCTTAACATGAGTATAACAAAGATGTGATAAAACAATTACCCTCAATTCATTATATGCTGCATAATACTGGGGAAATCTTCCCCTTGGTCCCCCAAAAGCTTCTTGCCATGTATCTATCAAAATTAGTATCTTTTCCCTAACATTCAAGTCTGGCTGCATAATGGAATTAGAATAACAAAGCAGAAAGAAAGTTAGTATCCTATTCATGCACAAACTGGAAAGAAAAAAAGGAAGCAACAAGTTAGTGAAACAGAAAAACAAAGGTTGGGAGAGAAATGCAGCACCTTCTTCTTTACTATTTTGACCATTTCATGCAAGATATCACGCTCAACGATCTGCTGAAAAACATTCTCACCACAGTTCTTGCTCACAGTCTCCAATGCCTGCATCGAATAATAAATTAGGAGAAGGAAAAAGACACCATTGCTCAGAAATGGCTTGTTTTGTGCTGATGATAGGCTAATGCAAGGCAATCATTGAACCACAACAGGTCCATCATAAATCACAAATTTATTATGACATTTTCACATGTATACATATTTTTGGGATGGGAAGGGTACCACAAGCTTTACATCATGAATTTAAAATTTTAAAAGAAAGATGCAAAAACATGACAAGAAATAACACAAAAAATACTGAAAGTCTCACAAAGAAAAGGAATAGTACTAACAAAAAGAGCCAGGAGTTGTATTTTTGGATTTTTGCTGCCCAGGCGCTTCTTGAGTATCTTCAAGGCCTCTTTTGCTTGCCTGAAAGTTCAAACCAGTTCATTGGCAAAACAAAGCATTCCGAATATTTAAATTAGGAAAGAGATTCTATGGGAAAAATAATCCACAACAATAGAAAATAAAGAGGATAGTCTTCTGCAGAGTTTAAGAAGCTAAGAAATGTCCAACATATAAAAGAAAGCCCGATACACCAAGATGCTCATGGAATCTATTTGAAAAATAAATTACTCCTTCTACGAAGTTTCCAGTTCATCCCAAATCAATGTAGCGAAAGCATTCTACTACCCTGTCAATTTTTTAAAGTGTTACTTTTCAGGAGGACATGATTTCCTTATGAGATGAGCCACATCTCCATTTCAGGAGGAGATCTCCTCTTCTACCAGGAGCCAAGTATTAAACTTCGTGTGTATGTGCGTGCACATGTATATATGAATACATAATAAGCTCTGAGCACTTTAAAGTTTCAACCAACAACTACGATATCAATATTTCAGAAAAGATTCAACGTACTCAACAATTTAAGAAATGCGAACTCTAAACGGGTGGATATACCTATATATAATATTCAATCTAAAAAACGAAATTGAGGGAAAACAAAGTAATCATACCCAGGGTCAATATTGATAATATCACATAATTCAATATTTATTGCCCAGTCTGGACCAATCAACATATCACTTGTTGCCCTCTCTGCACAGGCCGCACCATTACCAGCCATGTCGTAATCCCCTTCACGCAAGTCTTTATCCTTAAAACTTCCTAAATCAGAAGCCAAAAACAAGTTCAACTACGTGCAATTCAACATTTGTGATGTAAAAGAACTTAATAGATGCTAGAAACGGAAGATCATAAGACACCTGTCAGGCTCAGGCTATCACTAATTAGCTCGATGTCAGTAATCTTGTTCAATTCCAAAAGTTCCACAAATTATTTCTTACCCACCAAGACAAAACTTATGAAAATCCCAATTCAATTACGATAATTGACAGCGGAACTATACAAAATTGATCCAGAAAATATTAAAAACCCGAAATCGCAAACAAATAGGGTCTATAAACAAATTCAACTATCTGCTCATCCCCATCACAAATACGTATCCCAAATCAAAATAACAAACAATCAGATAGTCAACAAAGTACGATTAACACAAATCCAAGTCCCACATCAAGAAACCCACAAAAATTTGTGCCCATAAAACACAGACAAGCAAAACCCAATTGGATATTAGTACTAAAATTGAAAATCAAAATTCGAATTAGCAAGATAATGGTCCTGTGCTTAAAGTTAAACCCAGTTGACAAAACGATCAGAGAATAAGAGAAAGGAATGAGAAGATTTTGAGTATTTTGGGTGAGGATCTCGGGGAAAAAGCGTACCTGTGGAAACCCAATATCAAAGCGAATCAGAACCGACCGAAATGCCAAGATTTGAGAATTTGAGGAGAGAAATTGGGATAATTAGGGGAGTGGGTTTTCCTTGGGGAATTCTCGCTTTTCTTTTTCTCTCTGTTGGGGATCGTTTGCTTGTTTGGTGTAATGTTTATCTGCGTCAGCTTTTGCTGTTTAGAAATTAGAACCAAAACTTGTGACTAACGTTGCCTACAAAAATATATTATAAGACAAAAGTCTCTTGTTTTTTTTATTTTTACTGCAAAGCTGAATTTTCCGGGACCACTGCGTTTGTCTGCCATTATTTTGCTTTATTTAACTGGACTAAAAGTTAGTGCAGCCTCGTATTTATTATCCGCACAAAATTATTTTTAATAAGATTACGGGGAATTTGACTTTAAATTCTAAATTTTAGATTGTGTTATTCACACTTTTTTTTTATTTCTTACATATTTTTGTTAATTTTTGTCTATTAATCTTCTTCATCTCATTCGATTTATAATTAAAAAAATTGAAAAAAGTGTGTGAGAAGTAAAAAAATAGCTTGTGGAAACACTGGTCTAAACTTTCCCCACATGGTTGTTGTGCATAAGATTTATATTCTTTCAAAAAAGCTTTCTTTGAATTTTAAATTTTAAATTCTAATTTTTTTGCACGCGAATTTATCTTGTTAAGGAATAGTAGCCACACAAAATTTCAAATTTCTATATTCATAAACGGCAATGAAAATTGATGTATGACAATTTAAAAGTTATTACTTTTATTTAAATTTCAAGATTATTTCTCGTATCTAAACGAATGTATGTTTGTTAATTAATTTTCTTTAGCCAAAAGGAAACATCTTACAGTAATCTTGATTTGTGATGAAATAGAATCCAAAAGAATTAAAATATAATTGGTTTTGCACGATGCTAGTAAACAACATTTTCTCTTTAAATTTTTGTTTCCTTCCCATGTAAATTGGAGGTTTTAATTTCCTAGGCGCTTCCTGTTTAGACTTTTCTTTGATTGCGAAATAATCCTGACCGTGAACGCATTTTGGAAGCGGCGACTGGGCCCACATGACGGTGCATTGGAAACGGCTGTATCGGTGTTGGCGTTGAATTCTTTGAGCTCTGGGTGTCGAGCAAAAGTCAACTGAACCTAAAATGATACCATGGTTGACTGGGTCAGCGGTCAGCCTCATCCCTCCAACTTGTTCATCCCTCCAACATTTTCTCTCTCATTTTGTTAACGAATATTAAATCATTATCAATTATAACGTATTTAACTGAGTCATTGTCAGTTATCAAATATTTATTTCATTAATATTTTTTTTCATTTGTAAATGAAACGTTTTAAATTTGCGATATTGATGAATTCAGACTTTGTGAAGGCTTAGTTGTACTTGTTGCGAGTGGTATCAGAAGCCAATGCTTGAAACTTGGGGTCTCTCTCGTATTAAATGGTAGTAAGCCACGGATATTTGTTCAAGTTCACCAACATAAAAAGCGAAGAAAATTGCACAGAGAATTTGATTTCAAAAAATTCTCTTTCGATGCACAAGAACTCTCCTTCCAATAACTTCATCGGTCTAAACAGAATAATTTAAGAATGTCAACCAAATATTACCAAGTGGTCAGGGATTGGAATCGAACACAATGCTGAAATAACAGCAAAAAACGAAATAATTATCAAACGGACCCTAAGTGTTTCACTTCAAGTTCCAGAATGGAGATTTGTAAAGGGTGCTCACTGGCAGTGTTCTAAAAAGCCCCGTCTATAGTTTCGGAGTATATTTACTGTAATTGAAAATCAAAACTCATTATAAACAAGGATTGTAGTAGCATCTTGAACGTTGATTTACTATTTGACGTTTTTCAAATAACTGTCAACAAACGAGAAGTAACAGTTTGGATCATTTAGTTCCTTTGGTTTATCAACCTCTCATTTGTCTCAAAACATAACTATATTAATTATTCGTTTTAATGACAAGAGAAACTATATTAGTCATTTTGCTAATTGCAAATACTCATAAGTTGCAGCGGTGCAATCAGTATACAAGAAAAGAGTAGCAAAGTATCATCACCTCAGAGCCGGTATAGCCTTCTCTTCTTCGGTGATAACGAGCTTGCCCTCTGTGAACTCACAAGCTGCAATGGAAACACTGAGCTGCTTCTGCAGCTTCTTCACAACAAAAACCTGTGACTCTTCGCATATTGTTACGACAGTGCCCTTCCGGCCAAGCCGACCAGTCCGACCAGCTCGATGTGCATAATGAATTGAGTCAGTTGGCAAGTCCAGGTTGACAACAAGATCACACTCTGCCACATCCAAACCCCTCGCTGAAAGTTCATTTGTCACCAGGATTCTAACCTCCCCATTTTTAAACTTTTTCAGAGTTGTTGTTCTACCAAGTTTACCAAGATCCCCATGTAGCTCTGCCGCTACCATTCCACGAGCCTCCAGCTTGAAGACGGTATCTTTAAGCTGCTTAGTGTGGTTCATGAAGACTATAACAGACTTGGCATCGAGAGCATGAACACATCTTCTCAACGCATCAACCTTGTGTTGTATCTTTGTGACACAGTAGTAGTGTTTAAGAGATGGAGGTAGGCTCTGTATTGCAGACTGACCTTGCAAATTCTGGGATGGATCGGAATTGGTCGATTGTCCTGACAAATTAATGGGCCCCGTTGGAGAAATAGATTCAATGGACATGACTTTTTTGGCTTGGATGAGAAGTGGATCGTGCCCCCAGCTCCTGGCTGCCCGTATCACTGAGAATGGTACTGTGGCAGAAACCAAAACGGTCTGACGCTCAGCCCGCTTGGCAAGTGATCCTTTTGGTCCATGCGAGTCTCCAGTAGATTTCCTCCCAACATGTTCCAATATCCGGTGCATGTCCTCCCGAAAATTAAACGAGAGCAGCTGATCAACCTCATCTAAGACCAAGAAACGACAGCCGTGGGTGTGAAGCTTACCAGCTGCACTAATCTCCGAAAGCCTTCCAGGGGTACCAACAACAATGGAAGGTTTATTTTTCCTCAGCGCTTCTTCCTGCCTTGTTCGATTTGCGCCCCCAACAAGCTGCTGCACCACTTTTTTGTGTGCAGGCCCTAATATCTTCTCAAACTCCCTCACAATTTGCATACCCAGCTCCCTAGAAGGAGCCACAATTACTGCTTCTATATCTGTTTTCTTCCCAGGTTCACCATCGCCCTCAGATGTTCTCGTCTTTAGAGGGCCCACTTCAGAAAGGATGGGAAGAAGATAAGCCAACGTCTTTCCTGAGCCCGTGTAAGATTGAATTACAACATCATGATCTTCAAGAATTGTTGGAATTGCAGTGGCTTGAACATCAGTTGGAGTCTTGAAGCCTTCCTTCTCTAACCTCTCGATCAACAAAGGTGGAAGGCCGAGCTCAAAAAACGACTTCGCATTAAAGATACTCGAATCTATTTCAAGTGATCTGTGTGGCCCAGCTGCTTTCACTACATGGCTTCTAACCACCTTGGCTTTACTCTTCGGGACCTCTGTAAGCGACTTCAACACCTTGACTTCATTGATTTTCCCATTCTCCGGCGTTTCAAGATCGCCTTTGAAGCCAAGACTTGCAAGACTCAGACTACAAACACTTCTATGGAACCAAGCATTCCGAGAAACATGTGGAAACCTATGCAAGGAGAGAGACTCTCCAAAAATGAGCAACCTTGGCGAGATCAATGCTGGCATCTTTAATAGTCCCCACCAGTAATTACTAATCAGATACCAGCGGATTGAACTCAGAGCTGGATATTCGGATTTGAGAAGAAACAAGAATTACATGATAGGACCGAAACAAAATACGTATCCTGGACAGCGTACTAACAGATACTTAATAACTATCAGTAAACAGCTACTGAACCAAAACTCAGATCAGTAAAAAATATGGAAACACTTCATCTGACATTAAAACGAAATGGAAAATGAACCATACCAACAGATTAGTAATCTTAAATTAGTACGAATTTACGAAAACAGCATCGGAATTAGAAATTTCATGACCAAATTTAACATATCTAGCATCTATATACTACATAATCCATGAAAAATTTGAAATAATGGAAGCTAAAAGAATCAAAACAGATAAATGTGTCCAAATATTAAATTTTGTTCTTCCGAATTTGACAACACAACAGATGAGATTAGAATTACATTTACAGCTGCAAATATATATACAACAAACAGAAAACAGAAGCAATTCAGCAATTCAGCAACACAGCGAAGCTCAACTCAGAGCAGATTAGAAATCAAACCCTAAACTAGAAATGGAGAAATACCTTTTGTGGGTAACGGGTTACGTCGTCGGAATGGAAGGCGCCTAGGAAGAACTGAGGAAGAAGAAGAAGATAGGAAGGGCGGAAGAAACTGATTCAGACGACAAGTTCCACTTGAGAAAGGGTTTAAGAGGGGGACTGCGGGAGGAGAGCTGCTGGGTTTACGGATGAGGTTCTTCTACGGTTATGAATGGCTAAGGATGGGCTTGGTGACTTGGGTCAGCTGGGCTTCCGATCCTAAAAATACTATGAAAATAAATAGGGTGGTTCTTTGTACATCAAAGTTTCGTCTCAAGACACTTTGGTTTCTTTTCGAAACACTATGGATGTCCAAAGAGAATAACTGGTTTCCTTAAGAAATTATTGAGCCATTTGTGGTAGTTTTGTATTGATTATAGAGTCATTTTTAAAAATAAAATTAATAAATGTTCAGAAACAAAACTTGAGTATACAAAGAACCATTCCTGAGTAAATTATGGTGTGGATGGAGGTTTTGGGCTACTTGGGGAATATCCAAGGTCATTCATTTTGAGTTCAACAACATCAGTAGGCAAGCCGGATCCCCTCCGGATCCAAAGGAACTGAGTCCAAAAATCAAATGATTTAGGCCATTGAAATTTGATCCAACGGTCACAATTATTATAACTTTTAGAAAGCCACATGTTTGTAGTCGTTAAATCAAATTTCAATCGTCCGGATCATTTGATGAGTGGGCTCAGTTCCTTTGGGTCCAGAGGGAATCCGGTTCCAATAGGCAGGGGATAGAAAAAGCTTTGTTGGCAGTTCCCTTTGTCAACCCTTTAGCAACAAGGCACCCAAATGTCAATGCCTTAATCTGGATCCACAGATAAGTGTTTGAGATGTGGTTTTGTGTGGAAGCAACATCGAGTAGAAAG